ACAGTGGGATGACTTAAAAACCCTAAACTGCAGTAAAGAGGAACGCCAAAAATAAGATAGTTGAAAAAAAAGCAAAACCAAAGAATCTCCTGACTTGAGGGGTGAATGGGAGCAGGTAGTGTTAAGTTTGACAAGGACGCGTTCTTCCTTCTTCTTGAGAGGATAACCAGTCTAACACTCTTGCACAAGGAACTAAGTATTACCTTCAGATTGTTCATCAGAAAGTCGTCCAAACGAGAAATCGCATTATCGGCCACTTTCTTGAAATCAGCATCTGTTTGCAGTTCGAGGTCCAGTGCATCCAGAGAACGTTTTAATTCTGCACCGGATCCGCCTTGTAAAATTTCCTCTCCCAATGTTTCAATTTCCTGAAATTTATTGCTGGAAACACGCGCAGGCAAACATTTTAATTGGGACATTTCTCAAATCGGACTATAAAGTTATCAACACGCAAGTTACCAACATGATATTACAATAGACCTTTCTCTGGATTACTGTCAAGTTAAGCTCAGCACGAACTTTATGGAGAGTTACTTAACTCGTTCACAATGGGTCGCGAAGAGTTTATTCGCAGGCTCAATCAAACTGAAAAAAGGTGAAGTATATATTTTCGAGTTGTAACGACGATAAAAAAAGAGAACGACTGGCTAGAAAAAAAAAATGTTTAAAAAAACGTCTTGTATTGGAAGCCGCAACTTCGGCTGCAAATGTAAGTTTTGTGCGTATGTGTGCGTGTATGTGTATGCACGTATGTATATATATATATATATATATATATAATAATATGTATACGTATGTGTATATGTACATGTATATACATATATATGTATATATGTACATACGTATATATATGTATACGTATGTATACATATATATGTATATATGTATATATACGTACATACGTATATATATACATATATATATATATACTTATGTACATATACATACACATATACATATATACATACATATATACATATATATACATATATACATACACATACATGTATACATATATATACATATATACGTATGTATACATATATACACGTGTTCCTGCGTCTAATTCAACACTTAAACTATGTCAGCTAGAAAAGCTAGAATTTTGAAGCATTGTTCTTGGTTGCGCGCCGAACCAAACCTACGGTACAATATCTAACTGCTACAACAATGATGCCTCTGCCAAACCAAATCCGACCTTATTTCATAAGTAAGCAACATCCTAGGATATACGGAAAATTGGCCCATTTATTTTCTATCCTTAGACAGCGGAATACTGTAAAAACAGTTTTGTATGTACAATACCTGTTTCGATGCAGTTATTGAGCAAATGTACCGTTTTTCAGACTGACAACGCCCAGTTCGATTCTTCTCAATGCACGCTTCGATCTGGAATAGAAAAGAGCATTTAGGATGTGACTCAGAATGAAAAACCCCGATTGCACTACGCGGATAACATTTTTTTGAATTATGGTTTACGTTATAAATAGAAACTGACCTTTTCCGAAGCGTATTTTCTTGCTATTCAACCCATCGTGTTTCTGGTAAATGTCTTCTTATACATGACACCTAATTCCAATCTTTTTACTCCATTATTCAAATAAGCTACCTCTGAAAAGACAGAAATCAAATTTACTTCGGTGAGCGCGTTGAGTGTTTTTGCACGATCCGATCGGTTCAGCGATTCGGCCACATCCATCGCAGGAAAAGGAAATGACGTAAGAGTTGAATTACTGAAACATGGTTTCCTTGCAGCAACAGGTATAGCTATATTTTCACAGAGACAAATCTCATAAATTTCAACAACTCACTTTTATAAAATTTTCGCAAAAGTGAGATCTAATGGACTTTCTGTCTTCTGTCTGTTCAACTTCGTTTTAACAGCTTGTTTAGAGAACCAGAAGTTAAAATTCACTGCAATCAATCAGTGAATTTTAAACGTAGCCAGCCACCAATATATAATTAGCAGTTTTTCTACTTCGACAACCACAAATTACCATATTCCAGAACCTTCATCAAAGCTCACTTTCACAGTCTGCAGGGTGCATTCGAAACAACTGTCGCACTTTTCGTGCTCTTTTTACGTTTAAGAAATTCAATCAGTTTCGTGTATTACTGTACTTACGAAACTGATGGACGCCTGTAGAGTACAATGGATATCGAATAGGCTGATTTTACAGTCCACAAAATCAAACTAACAGCTTTAGAGAATGCGCGATATCAGCATATCCATCGCCGGTGATTTGATTTCTATCGACCAGAACAGTTTTTAGTGAAGTGTTGATCTGCAGTGCTTTTGCAAGTAGACGTGCACCAAAATTACCCATTTCATTACCTGAAATAAACTTTAAAATAACATTTGCATTGCTCAAATAATTAAAACAACATTCGTTTCATGGCAGTTCTTTTACGACCAGCGTTTATACAGTTTTGAATTATAAAAAAATATTGTGCGCTTACACAAGTGATTATTTTTCTGATAAAAATTCACTTTTCCCGGAAACGAATTTCAGCGATTTGAAAGGGGAGAAATTTTTTGAGAAATTACCACTTATGTCCAGATACAGCAACGAAGATGCAACACCAAGTGTGTTCAGCAAAATGCTCAAATGCGATCCCAATCGACAATCCGCTAACGATAACTCGTTCAACCTCTGAAAAATGGACTTCATGTAAATGGCACACAGAAAAGGACGACTCTATTTCTCAGAATGTAATAGTGAAAAAATTTCAAAATTTTGTCGAGAAACACCACAATTTCCCACATAAAAAAGAATTTCATGGTACCATGCTATGTGAAATCTTCGTCGAATTTACCGATTCTTCTTCGCCAACAAGCTTCACAATTTCGAGGAGTATATTCGAAACAACTGTCACATTTTTGGTGCCCCGCTTCACGTTCAGGAAATTCGGTCCACTTAG